TCTCTGCTTTAAAATTATAAAAATATATATACTGACATTTTCTTACAGTGTTTATATAGTTTTGTATTAGAATATTTGATGCATCTGGAATTTATCTTGGTTTAAGGGGTGGAGTTAGGACAACTAACTAGCAAGGATATCTTACCTTGGCTCAAATCTCAAGCTCTGGACACTTGTGCCCAGTCTGTGTTTGCCGCCTTGTTTGAAGAGGCAGCCTTGTGGAGAATGGAGACATGAAATGAAAAAGCAACACACTGAGGGGTGGAGAATATCTGTGTCAGGTGCCTGTCTCTGTGGGTGGAATAGAGAGGTGTTAAAGGAGATCAGAACAAGATGAGATTAAAATCACCGGGTCCTGCTGGACTTGGCATGGGCGGGGCTGGAGTGCCTGGAAGCTTGCTATGTGCGCATCTTCTCACCAGGAAGAAAAGTACATAAATCCTAAATATAGCACTTGATGGATGATAGAGTTTGGATGTGTTGTCCCCTCCAAAACTCATGTGGAAATTTGATCCCCTGTGTGGCAGTGTTGGAAACTGATTGAGTCTTGGGGGTGGATCCCTTATGAATGGATTAATGCTGTCACTGGGGGAGGGGGGAGTAATGAGTGAGTTCTCCCTCTGTTAGTTCCTGCGAGAGCTGGTTGTTTATAGGACCCTGGCACCTTCTCTCTCTCTTGCTTCCTCTTGCCATGTGATCTCCTTGTACTCACCGGCTGCTGCCACTTTTCCACCATGAGTAGAAGCACCCTGAGGCCCATGCCAGATGCAACAGTCCCAGAATCGTAAGCCAAATAAACCTCTCTTCTTTATAAATCACCCAGTCTCAGGTATTTCTGTCATAGCAACACAAAATGGACTAATACAATGGATTTTAACAGGGAATGCCACATGTGACCAACAGTCAAATCAAGAAACAGGATATGGTCAGCCCCCCAAAGCTCCCCTCAACCCTCTTCCAGTCCCCCCAGCCCTACCTACAAGGTAACAATTACCTTGACTTCTCATAGCCTAGATTCATTTGGTTAGGCACTCGTTTTGATGATACTAACATTTCAGTAATAGATACGTTCTCATCTGTCTGGTTTTCCTTCTGGCAATTTTCTTCTTCCTTCCTGCTTTCCTTCTCTCCATGCAGCAAACCTTTATTGAGCGCCTATTGTATGCCAAGCTCCATTGCTAGGTCCCGGGGCTACAGTGGTGCCTTAGGAGATGCTTGTCTCTAGCCTCGTGAGATGGCTTGCTGGGAGTTTAAGATGGGTTACAGAGGAGATGGGAGGAAATGGGAGACAGTTCCATGTGTTTCCTCTGAAATA